TAATTTCTTTCTTGAGTTCTTCCATGCTGATTTCTATCGGAACTCCACTGATCACTCCAAGTGTTTTCCGATTTGCTCCAGGAACATGGCATTTAATTCAAACTTCATTCAGGGTCTTCATTTTCAGCAACTTTTCCTGTTGTTTTGCATTTATCATTTCTACCAACATCCGTCCTTTGCTCAGAAATCTTGCTTGCTTTATCGATCCAATTTCTTTGTGAATGGCTTTAGTCAGGGCCACTGGATGTAGCTTAACTGCGGATTGCTCACCAAACTCCACAATCACTTTCCACTCTTCATTCTCAATCCTTTGCTTTACTCTTTTTATTTCATTCTGCGAATCAGACTCACTGAGACTGTCACTTGACATGTCTATCTTCTTTCTTGAACTCTTTGTTATTACTTCATTCCATCCTCCTTCTCCTTCAGATGCACTTTCCATATCCTCCTCCCCAGGACTCAAAGACGCCATTCCACCAGCTGCTCTCAATCTCGCACTCCCAACTTCTCCCGCTACGTCACACCACACGTCTCACTTTTCTACCTCTTCTTGATAGCAACAGATTCTGCACAAACTCTCTTCCACCTACTGTCTTTGTTGATCAAGTTTACACACAAGCTGAAGACCAGCAACAACAATTAGCAACACTATAGGCAACAGAAAAACGTTCACATAAAACAAAAATGGAACAACATAAAATGGTTAAGAGTAAAAGAGTATCTTCTTGTTTATATGTTGTCTTCATGTGTTCAAAAGACAGTTAAACACATAACCTGTTAATAAACATGTTGACCAAAAAGCCATTGATTAAAATCTTTAAATTGCAAATAAACCCTCGGATTATTTATCGGATTGTTTTTAGAAAAATACTTATGAATAAGTGCATTTGTTGTTGTTGTAAATCACTGCTGAGTCTACTTTCAATGTCTACAGAGTGTGGAGGATGTTCTACCCTTTTGTTTAAGCCAGTTGCTGTAGTCTTCTTTGTAATGTGCTGGGGCGGCAGGGTGAGGGCAGCCCACACCCACAGATTTAACAAGTTCTCTAGGATGTTGGGCTCCTGAGGGAGGAGCCTGATTATATGTTTGTGTTGTCTTAAAAGAGGATGCTGCACAACATGTTGCAGCATGTGACAATAACCGTCACCCTCTCCATCATTTGCTAGTCACTCACACTTTTATTTTATTATTTTATTATACGGGATAATATGGGACATGCATTATGTGCAATAAGGGTACCTTATTTATTTATATATTTTGTATTTGCACTCCTTGCATTGTTTCTTACTTCAGCTGGGCTTCAAGTGCACAGGTTCCTCTAAGCAAGTTTTAGAGATTTTTATTTTTGTTTAATAATAAAGGCCGGACCTGTAATGTCAACATGTAGTATATAGTTTTTCCCCGTTTCTACTTTGGTTAATATGAAGGGGAATTTGGCCAGCACCTCAGGAACATATTCCTTCTGATATTCAGATAGCCACACTATTTTCTACCTTCGCTGGATCCATGTATGTGTATGGGACGTTCACGGTCAAGTTTCTAAGACGGATGCGTGCACTCAATGCTTGAAGATCTCCTTGATAGGCCCTTATCAGTTCGCAGTGGGTCGTCTCGTCAAAGTCGGCATCAGGGTAGTGGACAAGATGTGCCTGATAGAATCAATTATACATAAAAAATAAATGTTCGATCTGAACATCTTGAGGTGATATGTAATTTATTTCACAGGAAGTTTTGGGCACTTACGGTGTCAGAGATCGAGTTGCTGAGTAGCCACAAGGTGGACATTGCGTTAGCTGTCTGACCCTTGTTAGGCAATGTCTGCAGCATCGTTTCCTCACTTGTTTTCCCCTTTCTGGTTGGTGGAGGAAGTTGCATTGTGGTTGGAGTGTTGGGCATCCAGCCACCATAGTCATACTGCAACAAATTAATATTTTTGTGCCATTACATTTAGAACAAAATATGTGCAGACATTAATGGGCAAGAGAGGATGAGGAGAGGAGAGGACAGAGTTGTCTGTAGTGCCTCCTTGACGTTCAATGTTTTTCTGGATTTTTAGTGTCAGCTCTTTCTGCTACTACATCCACAAACTCACAGTACCTGCCCGTTTTGCAATAAAACCTTTTTAAAGTAATACAACTCCTGTTTCTGTTCTCATTGTTTTGCATTGTGGGTTGAATCCAGTTGCTCTTGTGAGTTTAACAGCATGTTATAGTTTGTTGATTTTGGCTTAAAGCCTCACTGTGCCTATAAAGCCTTGCTGACTTGCTAACATAGCTTTCAAATACTATTTATTTTAAAGACTTGCTTACAATCCTCTAAGTCTAATGTAATTTTCTTTAACAGAATTCATCCATCGTTCTCCAGGACAGAAACATACTAATAAAACCTTATTTACCCATTCCACACAAATACACAATAATTGTGGTATATTAGGATGCTTCACCTGTCCAGTGTTCACGGCTGAGTGCTGTCCTGAGCAGGTGAAGATCACCATGGTGACAAACTTCACCAACTCTGCCACAGTGTTGAATCTCTGTGGGATCCCTGAGAACCAGAGGGAAGTAAATGCTTTACTAAGATGCCTTTTTTTAAATAATCATATTACAATGGTACATAACTGTGCACAGTTATTATCTAAAACATTTAGCTTTTCTTTAGCCCACCTGTTGATGATCGGGAATGAAATCCATATTCAAAGATTTCTGAAATCCAATCCTGCAGTTTTTCGTCAACCTCAACATCAGCATCACTCTTGTAGTGGAAGCTGAGCATTCCCTGCACAAACCTGAAATGTAAAACACATTTCTAGCTGGTGTATTATACACACTGCACTAGTATGACTCTCTGTAGGGACATAATTGAATGGCCCATTCCTTTAGAAGAATCAGGTCTGTGCTTTTGAAGATTTTGGTGAAATATTTGACAAAGAGGATCCTAACTTTGAGGAATAGTTTGACATTTTTTAAGACATGCCAATGTAGCTTTTTTGCTGTGTTATCCCAGCTTAACCTGGCTTCCATGATGCATACCACCAATGGGTGTCACTTTGTTATGAAAATTGGTGCCTCAGCCTACAGTGGGGTTACTCAATAAGCACACCATATTCATACTGTAACAAATTAATATTAATCACACACACACACACACACACACACACACACACACACACACACACACACACACACACACACACACACACACACACACACACACACACACACACACACACACACACACACACACACACACACACACACACTAAACTTATATCGTTTTGATTTAGTTTTTCCTGCCCCACCATTTTGTTTTCATGTTTGACAACAGTGATGTGACCATTGTAATGTGAGTAACCATGGACACCGCTGGATAGTCATACTGGGTTGACAATTATTGTACTTGTTGCAAGCTAGCTACACTACTGGGTTCCCAGAAATACACCCATCAACTGAAAACGGATAAACGGTTCTCAAGATGGTAGATGTTCTCTTGTGTAGATAAACCTTCTCAAGGTGTCTCATTTATAACATTTATTTGTGCACACTATTATTCCGATTTTTAAACAAACTATACTTTCTAAAATTGTAGGGGACATGTCCCCAGCGAAAATGATGCCTATGCTACCAGCAAATTAAGTTTGTGGTCTTATATGAAGTATCATGCTGCATGCATTTGTTGTTAAACAGTGACCATGAGCAACAACCATATAGAGTCTAATGGTTACCTGGCAACCTTACTGGGATTTCAAAACAAACTAAATGTATAAAATGTATTATTACACGGCTGAGTTGAAAACTCGATTCTGATTGGTCATTACAGATATCAGAGGGTATTAATACTCGATAACAGACCGCTGCTAAGCTAAATAATGACCGTTGCCGAGAAGGATCAAGCGAGAGAAGGACAGATAGAGCGTTAGATGTCAGAAATGTCAACAGAAGAAGACAGACAGGAGGTAAACACTAACATGAACACGGTATGGGCTTCTCTGGCGTTGTTTAAGGACTTAAAAGAAAAATAAACTGTGAAAAGACTTGGACAGTAAAAGAAAACATTGATCTGTGCTGCCGTTCATTTAAAATTAAGTTGTTTTTGTTGCAGTTCCAGCCATTGGTACGCCGTGGAACAGAGTTTTTTTAAGGATAATGTACAGCAAGGCTTTTTCAATATCTTTATTTTTCAATATTGAAAAATGCACATTATCCCTCACCTAAGGTAAAAGATAAGTTTGAGAATTGGTTGTATAGGTGTACGTTTGACACTTTAAGACATCTTAAAGTCTTTGTAGCCAGGCCTCATGAAACAAAACATGGAGCACACTTCTGCAGATGGGGAATGGAACATAAACTCTAATTCTGCATTTGTATTTTCAAGTTGCTTTACTGCAGGACTAGTGCTCTTTGCTGGGGCAATAACTGCATTCAAACAGATCCATAGCCTTTGTGCGTGCCAGCGGATCTATCCTTTCTTCATTGACATAATTAGCTTTATGTGATTCAGTTGTTTGTTAGGTTCAAACAAACCTACCCCTAAGCATCATCTGAGTCTTTATCATGCTATATTTGAATAATATATTGTAGGGCCATACCTATATAAGGTATATTATACGTTTTCTTTTTCAAAATACCAAACAGATCATGCATTTTAGCCATGCCTCATTTCGCTCTATTTTGCTCTCCTCCACCCCTGTCTTTGCATGCGCTGCAGCTGACCACGCCCCTCTGCAAAGGAGGGGGCCGAGTTACGAGCGTCATGTTACCATGCTGTTACCATGCTGTTACCATGCTGTTACCATGCTGTTACCATGCCACGGCAACCTCTCATTCCCCTGATAGGTGGAGAGTTGGCCATATAGGCGGAGCTCCTCCGTCCTGACATCAGAGAAATGTTCAAATCTGTATCAGTCTGTATCAGATCCGTTGCAGCCCCGTTTTTAGAGATTTGGGTGTGGAGGAAAAGAGAGAGGGTTGTGTTTTCTGACACTTGGTGAGTTCCCTGGAACACCGGGGACATATATTCATGTATAAAAGACGTACAAAAGTGCATTTTGCATGATAGGTCCCCTTTAATAACATGCAGTTTTTCCCCTTTTCTACTTTGGTTAATATGAAGGTGAATTTGGCCAGCACCTCGGGAACATACACCTTCTGATATTCAAATAGCCACACTATTTTCTACCTTTTCTGGATCCATGTATGTGTATGGGACCTTCAGGGGCAAGTTTCTGATTTTGATGTTTGCACTTAACGCTTGAAGCATTCCTTGAAAGTGTTTTATCAGCTCGCAGGGAAACGTCTCGTTGAAATGGGCCTCTGGGTACTGGCCAAGAGGGACCTGATGACATCAATGACACATTGTTATACACAAGTACACTTTTTCCCACTAACATTCAAATGTTTATCAATCAAAGACTATGGGTAAGATATACTGCTGTGGTGGAAAGTGTACAAGATTTTCAGTAGCTAAAAGACGATATTTTGGTTTAATCACATTTGAACAAAATGTACACAAATCATGATCTTAATCTTACGTAGTCAGACGATGATTTGCTGAGTAGCCACAAGGCGGCCATTGCGTTAGCTGTTACACCCTTGTTGGGTAACGTCTGCAGCATCGTGTCCTGATTTGTTTTCCCCTTTCTGGTTGGTGGAGGAAGTTGCATTGTGGAGGGACTGTTGGGCATCCAGCCACCATAGTCATACTGCAATAAATAAAAGATTGGCATGAAGACTGAATAATACTTTTTGAAGCCACACCATCCCACTTTGTTGGCCAGTGTGTCCACTACTTTGAGCCAACTAAACTACTTCAACAGCTATTCGATGTATTGCCATGACATTTTGATTGGAACCAACATCTGCACAGCCCAAAGGATCTTATTGACTTCTGTTGCGATTCAATTAAGTTCATATATTCATGTTGACCTCAGGATGGACGTGATACCTTTCATATCCAGCACCACCATTATATAAAATGTTTTAGTTGTCAAATACTTTGATTCATGACCTGCAGACCTAATGATATTCCCATCAGTCTCAGCTTTACTCTGTATCTGTGCCTATAAGCTTACATTAAAAACTAAGATTTATATCTTAGTAAAAATTATACCTTATGTATGTTAGCATCTGAAGCATATTTGAACCAACGTGCAGCCTCCCAGACCTGCTAACATGGTCGTTTACTCTTTTTAATGTCATGTAACTCTCTTTTCAGTAAAGAAACTACAAAACCTCATTGACCCATTCCACACAAATACATAATAATTGTGGTATATTAAGAGGCTTCACCTGTCCAGAGTTCACAGCTGAGTGCTGTCCTGAGCAGGTGAAGATCACCATGGTGACAAACTTCACCAACTCTTCCACGGTGTTGAATCTCTGTGGGATCCCTGAGAACCAGAGGGAAGTAAATGCTTTACTAAAAGATGCCTAACAGTTTAAACAATCATAACATAATGGCACATAAATGTGCACATTGATGATGATGTATATTCTGCTATTCGTAAAGCTCACCACTGGATACTTTGGAAAGAAATCCAGGCTCAAAAATGTCCGAAATCCATTTCTGCAGTTCAGAGTCTTTCTTGACCTCGGCATCATTGTTGTAGTAGAACTTGAGCATTCTTTCCACAAACCTTTGGAAAATGTAGACATGTTTTTATAACACCTGCCTTGAGAATTCTACTTCTTTACACACTGTAGTTGAAAGACAACTAATGCCAACCTATTTAGTATCATGAGTTTATATAAATGTATATGCCTACCAGCCCCTCTTGAATCGCACTAACACAATTTATCTCTTTCTTTCAAGCAATACATAAACAGACATTTAAAAAGGGCAATTCATGGTTTTACGTTCTGTGACTTTTTCTTGATTGAAGTGGTAATGATGAAGATTATAACAAAAGAACCGACAGCAGGATTTTGGTTTTGATATTTCTAATATTAAGACTCTACCTTTGGATGATACCCCAGAGCTCGAGTCCATCATCCCTGTAGTAGAAGTTGGGCACAGTCTCCAGGCCACGCTCAGTGATGTCCTCTGGTATGCAGAGGGAGCTGTAGGTCAATGAGGACAGTGATCGCTTCAGGAGTTTCATCATATCCTCCCCACCAGCCGCTGCAAACTAGGAAACAATGTAAAAAAATGTAAGGAATATAGTAAGAGACAAATACTGTACATTTAAAAAGTAAAACATTGCTTAGGTAATGGTTTACTGAAGGTGTGATTTTTCTTTCATACCTCGGTGTAAGTTCCATTCTAAGATATTAGTTGATTTCGAGCTAAGTAGTTGATTTCCAAGGTGTCCCATGTGTGAGCCAACAGCAGCTGAAGGACAGAGTGAACTGTCTTTAGTGAAATTATAATTATTTCAAATTAAGAAACGTTGTTGCTACTATACCATTTAGCTGTGTGTAATGCTTGAAATATATAGACACTACATCAATGTAATGAATTAAATTAGGAAGACGCAAAAGCTCATCAACTAAAAAACCTTCAACAACAAAAACTGGCAACAATAAGTTTAGTTTTCTCTCTTCAGCTACCTTGTGCAGTGGATGCACCATGGGAATGCTGCGCATCAGAGACACCGTGAAGACTTCAGCCAGCAGATGTGTGCGCAGCAGGTGAACATTGAGTTGATGCAGGTTGAAATCTGCACTTCTCACGAAAATCTTGGCCATCAACCAGTCGTACTCAGAATCAGTAGGCAGGAAGATGGGATTGTCTTCTCCTGGAGTCTGCTTCAGCTGCAGGAGAAGGAAGGGGGTGTGGTTCAGAGCAGCAGCCCTACGTTCCTTGGTCTTTTATGTTGTGGAAAGGAAGTTGACCTGACTTGTGTTGGATTTCTTATTTTATGCAGGAATAACATTTACATTTTAAGAATTTACTATAGGTTTAATCTGCTTTTCAGCTAGATGCTCTCTCTCTTTCAAAGTCTCTAGATTTATCCGGTGTTACATTTGTTTAATGTTGTCATAACTGCGGGAAGGTCCAAAGGCCTGTTCATAACTGCTTGCTGCTTTAATTTTTATCTTGCTTTTTATTTTGTGATTTTGTTTTATTTTATTATTTGTTTAGATTTTAAGTGAAATTGAAAAGTGTAATGTTATTTTTTTATTTTGTATTCATCCAATATAAGTCTATTAAACTACCATTAAGTACCGTAAATGTGTGTTGATCTGCAAGGGAACACTGTTTTGATATCATCAATCTTAGTCCAGTCATCCACGGAATCAGCCACTCCCTCAAGTTTGAGCTCAATTAGCCTAAACAAAAAGGAAAGAGTAACTTTATTATGAATCTTAAAGTCCTTTCAATAAACAGGTACATAAAAGGATGGCTATCTAATTTGAGGACTTTACCCTGTCCCTAGAGTGAAGGCAAGCTCTATGTCCTTGGTGTAGGAGAAGCGGAGCGCAGAAGGTAGGGAAAAAAGGCTATCTGCCTTCATGCAATGGGGTAACCCCTCTGCATGATCATGCCAACTGGGAAATAGGAAATAGGAGAAGGTTATGAACTTTAGATAGTCTCTAATCTAGGGTATGCATGCTTAATATACCTCATATGTATTCAATATTGCAATTATGAAACTTATGCAAATGTATAACGCATTTTACCGATCTCTGGCGGGTGCAAAAATGTCATATCATGGTTATATTTATATATATTATATTGTAAGGGGTCTGGGCGCTCACCAATAGTCACTCTCTCGCTGTTTTATCTCCTGCTCCCGTATTCTCTTGGAATGTGGATCTTTACAGGCTGTCAGAGCTTAAAGAAAGAGATTAAACAAGGTTCAAAATGTGTGATTTATACAGTGTGGGCATGAATGTAATGAAGCCTTAAAGAGCAGATTGCAAATGTCTTCAGACAGGATGTCTGTCATAGCACATGACTACATGACTGCTGCCTGCAAATTCATAGATTTTGGCCCCATCTGGTGTAAGATTTTGTAATGACAGTAGGAACGTTTTCTCTCTGGTCTGTTCCGATCATGTGATTTCTAGTTTAGGGATCAATCATGATTAGACTATATCTCAAGAAAATCACCATGTGGTCGGACGAATAGCTTCTCTCCACGTTATGAGCCTTTGCTGGTAAATTGGTTATTTCTTCTGTGTTTTGTGCAAATCGGCCTTTAAATTATTTTGAATTTATACTACTACATTGTGGTAATTGAATGAGCTAAGGTAAAAAAACCATGAGCTAAATGTAGCTTCATGTTGTGTGCATAGAGGCTCCTTATTTAATGAAAAATCATGTGTGCTGTAATTTGACTCTGTAAAAAAAAGCTAATTGTTCAAGGTTCAAGGTTCAAGGTTCTTTATTGTCAATCTGACATAGCTACAGAGTAATTATGCAGTTGAAAATCTTATGTCACAGGCTTCTCCAACAATGCAACATAATAACATAACATAATAACAATAAGAGCAAGAGCAATACAAAAATAATAATAGTTATAAAAATGAAATAAAGTTATGATGTGGAATAGTGCAGTATGAGTCTATATACAAGTTATTGGAATGATATATATATATTAGGTATTAGATACATACTACTGAGTAGCAGTTGAATGTTTGAAGTTGTTTCAACAGTTCAATTTTTTAACAGTCTCACTGCCCGCGGGAAGAAACTGTCTCCGAATCTTCTTGTCCTTGCCAGGATGCTGCGGTAACGTCTGCCAGACGGCAACAGAAAGAACAGTTTGTGGCTGGGGTGATGGGGGTCTTTGATAATCCGTAGTGATTTCTTCCTGAGCCGCTGGGAGTAAAGGTCCTCCATGGATGGCAGCTCCGTCCTGGTGATGTGCTGTGCAGTTTTCACCACCCTCTGTAAAGCCTTACGATCGAGGTCGGTGCAGCTGCCGTACCAGGCCGTCATGCTGCCAGTGAGGATACTCTCTATCGTGCACCTGTAGAAGTTGCAGAGTATCCTGGAATCCATTTTGAACCTCCTCAACCTGCGGAGGAAGAAGAGCCGCTGTCGAGCTTTCTTAGTGATGGTGGTGGTGTGAAGAGACCATGTCAGGTCCTCAGTGATGTGGACCCCAAGGAACCTGAAGCTTTTGACTCTCTCCACCGTAGTCCCATTGATGGCGATGGGGGCGTGTCCCTCTCCCTGCTGCTTCCTGTAGTCCACAATCAGCTCCTTTGTTTTGCTGATGTTGAGATGGAGGTTGTTCTCCTGGCACCAAGATGTCAGGTTTTCGACCTCCTCTCTGTATGCCGTCTCGTCATCGTCTGTGATCTGGCCGATGACGGTCGTGTCATCAGCAAACTTCACGATGGTGTTGGAGCTGTGTGTGGCCACGCAGTCGTGGGTGAACAGGGAGTAGAGGAGAGGGCTGAGCACGCAGCCTTGAGGGGCACCGGTGTTGAGAATCAGGGTGGAGGATGTGATATTTCCCACCCGCACTGCCTGGGGTCTGCCCGTCAGGAAGTTCAGGATCCAGTCGCAGAGGGCGCTGTTGAGTCCGAGGTCTCTGAGCTTGATGGCCAGCTTGGAGGGCACAATGGTGTTGAATGCTGAACTGTAGTCAATGAACAGCATTCTCACATATGTGTTCCTCTTCTTCGGGTCCAGGTGTGAGAGGGCAGTGTGGAGGGTGAGGGCTATGGCGTCGTCTGTGGACCTGTTTGCTCTGTAGGCAAACTGCAGGGGGTCCAGAGATTCAGGGAGGGAGGAGGTGATGAATAATTTGACTAACCGCTCAAAGCACTTCATTATGATGGAGGTGAGTGCTACTGGGCGGTAGTCATTGGGGCAGGTGATGATTGTCTTTTTGGGGACAGGAATGATGGTGGAGTGTTTAAGACATGTGGGGACTACAGACTGCAGCAGGGACCTGTTGAAGATGTCTGTGAACACCTCTGCCAGCTGAACTGCACACACCCTGAGAACACGGCCAGGGATGCCATCAGGTCCAGGAGCCTTGTGTGGGTTAACCCTTTTAAAGGATTTACACACATCTGCCCTATTTAAAACAAAAGGGCAGTGTAGCTCCTGGTCCCTCTGTACCTCCACAGCCTGGCTGCTCTCAAAGCGTGCAAAAAAAACTGTTTAGCTCATCTGGGAGAGATGCGCACGCAGACACTCCCGCAGCACCCCCCGCTGCTCCTTTGTAGTCAGTCATTGTCCTTAGTCCCGCCCACATATTCCTAGTGTTACAGCCTTTGAAGTCAGATTCCACCTTCTCTTTGTACTGTCTCTTTGCATTTTTTATTGCTCTCCGGAGATCATACCTAGACTTCCTGTACTCCTCCAAATCTCCCGCTGTGTGCGCGAGAGTGCGCGCTTTCAGTTTGCCGCGCACCTCACCGTTTACCCAGGGCTTTTGATTTGGGAATGTCCGTACAGAAACCTTCGGTACCACGTCATCGATGCATTTCCCAATGTAGCAGATGACAGTGTCCGTGTGTGTGTTGATGTTATTGTCCTCAAACACACTCCAATCCGTGGATGCAAAGCAATCCTGCAGTGCTGAATCTGACTCCTCGCTCCATCGTTGTACTGTCCTTGTTATCGGTCTGTCCCTTTTAAGTTTCTGCTTGTAAGCAGGCAACAACAGTAGTGAGATATGGTCTGATTTGCCGAAGGGAGGGCGAGGGAGAGCCTTATATCCATTCCGGAAAGGGGAATAAACATGGTCCAGTATGTTTCCCCCGCGCGTCGGGAAGTTGATGTGTTGGTAATATTTTGGCAAAACCTTCTTCATGTTGGCGGTGTTGAAATCTCCGGCCACAACGAACGCCGCATCTGGCCGTGAAGTCTCGGTTTTATCAATAAACCCAAACAGCTGATCGAGTGCCGTGTTGTTGTCGGCGAGTGGCTGCGGCGGGATATACACTGCTGTTATCACAACAGATGTGAATTCCCTCGGCAGATGGAAGGCCCGACATGAGATCATGAGGTGCTCTAGCTGTGCGGAACAGTCCGATGAAATAATCTTCACATCTGAGCACCAGTTGTTGTTAGTCATTACACACACACCGCCTCCCTTACTTTTCCCCGAGTTTGCAGTCCGGTCCTGACGAAAAATAGAGAATCCGTCAGGGACAATAGCGGAGTCCGGGATAGCGGGGTTGAGCCAAGTCTCAGTGAGAATTAACACGTTACAGTTCTTAATGTCCCGTTGAAAAGCAATCCGGCTTCTGAGTTCATCTAGCTTATTTTCAATGGATTGAACATTAGCCAGAAGAATACTCGGAAGAGGGGGCCGATTCTCACGTTTTCTCAGTTTGACCAGCAACCCGGCCCGGCATCCCCGCTTTGTCTTCTTCTTGCGTCTCTCAGGTAGAACAGCAACAGGTAGCCATGGTGAATCTCCATTGTCTGTCGGAGGGTTAATATTGTCCACGAAGTTTCGCAATTGGAAAAGTTCCTCTCTGCTATATTGTATGGCAGAGTAGGTGCGGTCGGCTAGCATGTTGCGAACCATGTTAAAAGTAAAACGGCAAAAGTAAAAGAAATATGTACAAAATACGAAAATGGGCAAAGTTGGAGAGGAGCACGAAGACGATGCGGCCATCTTCACCGGCGCATCAGTTCACTTGTGATTGTGATTCTGTATTTGTTTCAGTTATCTTTTTTGAGGAAAGAGACAGAATATACAAATAAATCAGCAAAACACATTAACGTTAACTTTGTGTTCAAAGATCTCTGAATCCTGTTGTTAGGTAGTGTGTGCGTAGATGGGACATGCATAAGGGATACAATAATGTCATACTAAGACATTTCTACAAACCTGTTCCCTCTCTGAAGCAGTGCACCTCGCTGTCATTGATCCAGCGGTAGATGGGGAAGTTGTAGGTGTCTCCCTCAGGGGATTTCACTTCCACCTTTTTAGGAAACCAATTGTCTTCAAAGAACAGGAAGCGCGGTTTGTCCAGCTTGATCTGGATCAGCTTTCCAATGGAGACAGGGCAAGGCACTGTAAAACTAGACACCTGGAGTAATGACAGAAATGATTTGAGAACATTAATTGTTTGGCAATTTCTTATATTGGTGGAAGCAGGACAGGTATCACATTAACATATATTCACAAACCACCAGATATGACTTTATAACATCATAATTCAAGAAGAAAACTAAACCCGACTTATCAGAGAGTTATAACAAGCCCGTCTCTATTTAAACATTGATTGTGATATAACAGACTTACTGCTCCTCTTATAAAGTTCCAGGTCCGAAGATAGTCCATCAGCAACTCGCGTTCACTATTCCCATCTGTTCCCACCAGCTTAATGTAGACATTGTTTAAAGTCCCAGCATAGTCGATATTGGCAGTGAATACTGTCACTTCATAATCAACCATTTTCCCACTGGAGAGAGGAAGAATCCTGTAAGGGAGACAATAATAAAGATGTTGCTCAGCACTAGTTTGGGTTGACTGTGACTAGATAAACCTGAATGCAAAATATAACAATATTTACACTGGAAAGCAAAAGACAAACCTGACGGCAGAACATTTGGGATTAATACTGGTAATACAATGAAAATGGCATTTGCAAAAAAGATAATATGACAAATACTACTATTTTTGTCAATTGTCACTTATTTATAAGTCTAATCTTTGCTAAAAGAAAAAGATCATAAAGCATCTCTGTTACCTGTTAGACCAAGAATCCTTTGGTGAATGGCTCATGTCTGCTGATTCCTCTTTTTATATGTGTATGGGTGTGTCCACTCCTTAGCGATAGAAATGGTTGGCTATGGTGGTGGAATGTTGGATACTTTCTACCTGTATGTGGAAAGTCCTGTTAGAAAAGTGCTTCCTCATTACGATCTCTATTTTATAATGACTTTACGTATCTTGTGTATTCACAAGATGTTTATTGGTCGTGGGTTCCTGCATATTTAACTTGACAAAAACGTGGTTTTAGCATCTAGGAGTTTAAGACCTCATTGTCCGTATATGTGTTATCTGTATGTCCTAAGAAACTAAGGATATCCATACATATTTGACTCTTTGTACAACATTACCGGACATGGGTGAAAAGAAGGTTAAGTGGTAGGAATGAAATGATTTGCTAAGATGCTACACAAAAGGAATGCCAGCTTGGCAAAGACAATGCAACTATTCCAAAAAAATACACAAATCATGCGACTGTGTCTCAGGAGGTAGATGGTCTTCCAATTTGAAAGACCTGTCGTTCCATGTCGATGTGTCCTTGGGCAAGATACTTCACCCCAGGTTGATCCCTGAGTGCATGTTAGTTCCCTTGATCAGGTGGCACCTTGTATGGATGTGTATGAAGGGGTGAACGATGAGTTATGTAAAAGTGCTTTGAGGAGTCATAACGAACGGTAAAGCCCTATAGAAATGCAGTTAATTTACCATTTACCATCATTTGACCTTTTGCCAGATTGAAAAAATGTTTGATGATTTGATTAAATCAATTTGGCCACCCACAGCCAGAAGAATGGGGAATAAGGAAGTCAACTCGTACAAACAAATGTACATACAAGGATGTAAGCCTACATTTTTCTCTTGGTTTTCTCTTTGTCCATGGGGGAGGGATCTACTTTACTTTCCAGAGCCAAAAGAACGAAGATATGTTTAGCATAAAGCCGACTTCCTGGTAGAAATCTGTTGTGTGCTCACCTGCTGTACACTTTGCCCTACATCAAAGTTACACACACACACACACACACACACACACACACACACACACACACACACACACACACACACACACACACACACACACACACACACACACACACACACACACACACAAAATATATATATATACACACACACACACACACAATATATATATATATATACAGTAAATATTCTAAAATGTTTTATATTTATTATATTTATATATATATATATATACTTTCCAGCTTTGTATCCCTAGCTTCTCATGTTCCTCTCTGCCTTCTGCTGTTTGTCAACCACAACGATACGTTTATTTTATCTTTGACCATGTATTGTTGGATACTTTCTACCTGTATGGGGAAAGTCCTGTTAGAAAAGTGCTTCCTCATTACGATCTCTATTTTATAATGACTTTACGTATCTTGTGTATTCACAAGATGTTTATTGGTCGTGGGTTCCTGCATATTTAACTTGACAAGAACGTGGTTTTAGCATCTAGGAGTTTAAGACCTCATTGTCCGTATATGTGTTATCTGTATGTCCTAAGAAACTAAGGATATCCATACATATTTGACCCTTTGTACAACAATACCGGACATGGGTGAAAAGAAGGTTAAGTAGTAGGAATTAAATGATTTGCTAAGATGCTACACAAAAGGAATGCCAGCTTGGCAAAGACAAAGCAACTATTCCAAAAAAATACACAAATCATGCGACTGTGTCTCAGGAGGTAGATGGTCTTCCAATTTGAAAGACCTGTCGTTCCATGTCGATGTGTCCTTGGGCAAGATACTTCACCTCAGGTTGATCCCTGAGTGCATGTTAGTTCCCTTGAGCAGGTGGCACCTTGTATGGATGTGTATGAAGGGGTGAACGATGAGTTATGTAAAAGTGCTTTGAGGAGTCATAACGGCCTACTGCTGTTTGTCAACCACAACAATATGTTTATTTTATCTTTGACCATGTATTGTTGTTGAAAATGTGAAAAATCTGTGAAAATTAGGATTAATATCATTTGACCTCCAAGGAGCGACAGGGCTCCATAGCTGAGATTGGTGCATTGGCATCTTGGCATCATCTTGGCCCCCAACCTCATTTTCCTTTTTCACGTAAACCAGATAATGAAAACTACCTCTTTTTAAAGTACATCGCCTGTATCCGTCCTTTTTTTTCCTTCACCGGTGCTGGAACTTTGATCCATTCATCCATTACATTTAAAACTTGATTACTGCAACAGCATTCGTTATGGTTCACCTGCCTACATTCTGATAAAACTTCAATATGCTCGAAACACCTCCACTCATCCCTCCAACCACATCACCTTTATCCTTTTGCTAAGCAAAATAATGACCGTTGCCGAGAAGGATCAAGCGAGAGAAGGAAAGACAGAGCGTTGGACGTCAGATATGTCAACAGAAAAAGACAGACAGGCGGTAAACACTAACATGAACACGGTATGGGTTTCTCTGGCGTTGTTTAAGGACTTGTTAGTTGAAAACAAACTGTGAACAGACTTGGACAGTAACAGAAAACATTGATCTGTGCTGCCGTTAATTTAAAAGTTTTTGTTGCAGTTCCAGCCATTGGTACGCCGTGGAACAGAGTTTTTTTAAGGGATAATGTGCAGCGAGGCTTTTTCAATATTTTTACTTTTCAATATTGAAAAATTTACATTATCCCTTACTTGACATGGACTCGTCACCACCATCACCAAAAAAGCTCGACAGCGGCTCTTCTTCCTCCGCAGGCTGAGGAGGTTCAACATGGACTCCCGGAGGATACTCTGCAACTTCTACAGATGCACCATAGAGAGTATCCTGACTGGCTGCCTCACGGCCTGGTACGGCAGCTGCAACACCCTCAATCGTAAGGCTTTACAGAGGGTGGTGAAAACTGCACAGAACATCACCAGGACGGAGCTGCCATCCATGGAGGACCTCTACTCCCAGCGGCTCAGGAAGAAAGCCCTCAGGATTATAAAAGACCCCCATCACCCCAGCCACAAACTGTTCTGTCTGCTGCCGTCTGGCAGGCGGTACTGCAGCATCCGGACTAAAACCACCGGACTCAGGGACAGTTTCATCCCACAGGCAATAAGACTGTTAAACACCTGAACTGTTGAAGCCAAATCTGTTAAACACCTGAACAGTTGAAATAACATCCCTAATATTCATCTGGCTGCTACTTAGACATTATTTATCTATTTAACTAATATATCATATTCCAATAACTTTCATATAGACTCTTATTGCACTATTTCACTATTTCACTTTTTAAAACTGTTTTTCTTTTTGTATTACTATTTACTATTTACTTGCACTATATTTTTATGTTTATCTGTGTTTTGTGTTGCACTGTTGGAGTACCCTGTGACCTAAGATTTTCATCGACATAACTACACTGTAGCTATGTTCGTATGACTAAATAAAGAACCTTGAACCTTGAACCTTGAACCTAATCATTAGTTGGAGAATTGGTTGTACAGGTGTTTGTTTTACATTTTAAGAAATCTTAAAGTCTTTGTAGCCAGGTCTCATGAAACAAAGCATGGAGCACACTTCTGCAGATGAGGATTGGAAAACAATCAACTCTAATTCTGCATTTGTATTTTCAAGTCGATTTACTGCAGGACTAGTGCTCTTTGCTGGGGCAATAACTGCATTAAAACAGATCCATAGCCTTTGTGCGTGCCAGCAGATCTATCATTTATTCATTGACATAATTGGTTTTATGTGATTCGGTTGTTTATTTGGTTCCAACAAACCTAACCCTAACACAGCGTCCACACGGTGGCGTGCGTTGAAGCTTGCCGGCGGGCGTGTCTGAAGCTCGACCAACAGCCAATCACATGAATCTCCCGCCCCGGACACACAAGCACGCGGTTTGATTTGCTAGAGCTTGTACTGGCATATTGGATTGATTTAGCCGCCGACTCATGTAGCCCAGCTGTCTTGGTGCTGTTAGACCTGACTGCTGCCTTTGACACTGTGGACCATAGCATCCTGTTGTCACGGCTTGAACAGTCCGCAGGCATCACAGGCTCTGCCCTTGCATGGTTCAGGTCTTACCTGACAGACCGTAGCTTCTCAGTGCAGCTGGGTACCTTCTCCTCTGCTAAAGCTCCTCTTACCTGTGGGGTTCCCCAAGGCTCGATCCTGGGCCCCATCCTTTTTCTACTGTACATACTGCCCCTAGGTTCAATTCTCACAAAACACAATATCCCCTTCCATTGTTACGCTGATGATGTACAGATCTATCTGCCTCTCAATCAAAATGTCAACTCACTACAGCAGTTGATGGACTGCTTAACAGAGATCAAATCCTGGCTGAAGAAGTACCAGAGTGTAATACACCATTGTTACAAGTAAAAGTCATGCAATCAAAATGTTACTTGAAGTGAAAGTAAAAAGGTTTTAGCATCTAAATATATTTACAATACCAAAAGTAAAAGTACTCATTGTGCAGATTGGCCCATTTCAGAATAATATATGATATGTTCTGATTATGATTATTGATGCATTTCAGTGTTATCAAAGCTGGTAAAGGTGATGCTAGTTTTAATGACTTTGTATACTGCAGGGTAGATTTTGAATGTATTCCAGGTGTAACTAAAGTCTTATTTAAGTGTTGATTATATTTCACATTATTAATCCAAATCTGTAAAGCAACTAAATGTATTAAATAAATGTAGTGGAGTAAAAGTACACAATTTACCTCTGAATAATAGTTGAGTAGAAGTACAAAATAGCACAAAATTGAAATACTCAAATACAGTACAAGTCTCTCAAAATTGTACTTAAGCCAGTTGCTGTAGTCTTTGTTGTAATGTGCTGGGGCGGCAGGGTGAGGGCAGCCCACACCCACAGATTTAACAAGTTCTCTAGGAAGTCGTAAGGGAGGAGCTTGATTATATTTGTGTGTTGTCTTAAAAGAGGATGCTGCACAACATGTGGAGCGTTGTGGACAATAACCGTCAGTCACTCACACTCCTTTTTAGTTTTACGGGATAATATGGGACATGCATTATGTGCAATAATGTTATGTTACTTGCATGCCTGCTTATATCTTTTGACATATTTCTGATTT